CAGGCCTGTGCTCTATGTAAAATTTGACCATTTCATCCCCAAAAATATGATAAATCAAGCAAATTCCCGATTTTCTATGATTTTGGGGCTGTAGATCTCAGGTATGCAAGTATGGAACTTCAAGATTTTTTCCACTTTGATAATCTACAATACCTAGACTAACTTTTAAGCAAAAAATATTTGATCAAAACTTCAGTTTAATTTTGACCATTTTACAGGGCATATTTTGACCCTTCGTGGGCCAGGTTCTTTCTGTTTGAGTAAAAAAAACAAACAATGGACATAAAGTCAAATGTTCCCTTTGCAATGGGCAGGGCTCCCACCAGCCAGTTTTCATGCAGCTGTAGTAAAATAAGGTTATTAACATGATTAATGATTTTCATATAAGCATAACAAAAACCTTTTCTGTCTTTTGATTTCTATAGCTTACTTTTTTAGGGCTATTCTTATTTTTCAGATTTCAGAGTAATATTCTAAAGTAGCCTTTTAAAAATGTTTCTTTGAAGTTAATTTTTAATGCATGAAAAAATTATTTTCTCTACTTTTTCTAGAAATATTTTAGATGCCTATTTGTCTTAATTGTAAGTTCTAAATTTCATGCTTCATTTATTGCTCCATTGTCATTTTAAACATTACCTTTGTTCAATTGCAATGAAGGATATGGAGATAACAAACAGTATTCAATATCAAAATACATAAAACAATACAAAATAGGAGCAGAGTAGACATGGACCTCCGAAACATCAGAGGTGGAATCAGATACCATGGAGGAGTGCGCATCCCCTCCAGACTGGTTCACCCGCCATGTGCTCCTTGTCATGATAGGAAAATAAAGGAAAAATCCGTCGTAAATTCAGTGGATAAATTATGGACTAACAATCAGTATGAAAAACGTCAGTCAGCATTTGACTCAATGATAAATTGGATTTACTTAAAAAGGTCATTGTATCGACCATAGAACTTACGAAATGATAACTTCAAATCTTACTGCTGATATTCCTGTTTCATCAACTTGTTTTAGAAATCGTTTTACCTTGTTTATACCCATGCGTATTGAATCAGCTGAGATATATAACCTCCGTATGTAGGTGATGAAGGTATATTGCTGTAAAAGTAGGGGAAGTTGACGATAGAAAAGTTAAAGTCATCACGTTTATCATAGAGCTTGGTTGTTTGATTACCATTAACGTCTTTTTCAAGTAAGATATTCAAGTATGAAATATAAGTGTCAAAAAGATTTTGCACAAATTCTGCTATAAGATGCTGTCTGGAAACTAAATATAAAGATGAGAAAAAGAAAAACACTTTATGTCTACTAATAATTTATGCACGTTAAGCGCATAAATCCGCCATAATAAAGGAAGCAATCAAAAATCGACTGAAAACTGTGTGTGTCTACAAACAGCAAGAGGTTCACCGAGTTTTATTTTTCTGTACTCGGGTTGATTGATATGTTGTCTGTGTAAACTCCTCTCTTCTGCAAGTAAACAAAACAACAGAAAAACCTGCAAATTCAGAATACAAAAGGGGGCGGAGCTTTCATGTCATTCAGAACCTTTTTCACACATGAGTGAATAAAGCAGTCCCAGAGACAGCTGGGACTGCTGGGTCCGCTTTCTACAGCAGTTTCTGAGCAGTCCCCAAGCGGTCCTAAGGCATTTCCGCAGCGGTCCCAGAGCAGTCTCACAGCACTCCCAGCGGTCCCAAAGCTGTCCCCGGGACTGCTTTCTGGGACTTTTTTGGTATCAGGTTGGATCTGGTAGGTACTGTATCACTAAACACATACAACCAAACTAGTACATAAAACGTAATTATGTTTCCAAACAAGCAACAAATCTCTCCATTAAGGTCATCTTTCTTTCACACATCTTCATTTGCTCCTCTTGACACTTTCTTCTATCATCACGAACCTCTTTCAACAGTCCAATCAACTCATCATTTTTTCACTTTTGCTTAATTACCTTTTTTCACCTATTCTCCCTCACTCTGTTTCAGTCTCACTTTTGCCTTCGTCACAGTCACATACACAGCTACAGTTGCTATGTCCATTGTCTGTGAGTTTTATTCTATAGAGAAAAAATTATTTGAAAAAATAAAAATATTGAGGTGTTGCTATTTGTTAAAATAAGAATTATAAAGGAAAAAATCACTTAGGATTTTTAATAGGGGCGTGGGTGGGGTCTTCTTCAAAAGAATCCTGGGACAAAGTATTTAAAATGAATCCTGCGTACAAAATAAACATACTGCTTGGTATCATTTTTCATTGATAAAAAAACAAAGACTTTCATGGTATCATGGAATTATCATTCATTCAAAATTTTAGATTGTGTCCTTTTTTACTCGTTTAAGTTGTCCAATTTGTACAAAATTTTAATACAAAAATGGAAGGAATTAGGCACTATGAGTAGTGGGGGAAGCATTTTTAAGGAACATTTCAACAGTTCCAAATACACTTACCATTAGTTTCTTTAATTCCGATAATCTCGAACAATATTTTTTTCAAATATTTCTGTTTCAAGATTTGCTTACAAATTAAAATGATTTAATTTTTTTAATACTTAATTTTTAAATCTAAAGGTAAAAGTCGTTTTTCGAAGTTTACTTCTCCAGTAGAAAGTATTTCACCTTCTTATATCACCAAAAGTAAATGTTTTTTTCTTTTTTCATTTTTGAAACATTTAGATAATTGAAGTTCTAATTGCATCATATGAAGTAAAGCGATGTTTTTCCTTTCAGATACACCGATAGTAAAGGATAACCAAGAACCGAAAAACAATCAAATCCAATATTTCTGTAAGCAAATTGACAATACGTCGTAGATATATCTAAAAGTCGAGTTGAAGGCCACAGCAAATATTTTCTTCTTTTCACGCATAAGATTTTGCACAAATTCTGCTTCCTATGAATATAAAAATAGGTCTGCTTATAACGAAGCGCAATTGGTAATGTACCCATGGGAATTCCAATAGATTGTTGGAATACCTGGTCTCCAAAAACCACATAGATATTGTCAATCAGAAACTCAAGCATCTCTTTGATTTCAAATTCAGAGTACCTGTGTGTGCAATCAGAATGTGTTTTAACAAAATAATTTTTGCACATGACCAATGACCAGATGAATAAATTAACGAGTTCCATTTGTATTTAAAAAGCAGCTGTCAATGATATCAAAAAGCCTGGACTTTAATTTATCGTGGGAAATGGTTGTGTATAAAGTTGAAAAGTCATAAGTTTTTAAGCTGTTGATTTTGGTAAAATCTTGTGATTTTAAATTGTCCAAAAGTTCTTTGGAATTTTTGAGTATCCACATCTGATTCACACCACTTCTTGAATATATTATTGCACAGTACTCTTGAAGTTTTTCCTTCACTACTGTCAATATTTTAGTGAGGAGTAACGAAAGAGGCTTGGTTGACATTTTCTGGAACCCGCAATGTATCTTTGTTTGTGAGGATTTTTATGAAGTTTCGGAATCCAATATACTGTAGACGTACTTTTGTCCGTGTGGTATTAATTTACGCTATGAACGCGGGCACAAATTTTCCGCGGAAATTTTTCCCAGTGTACTTAAAGTGCATTTTGGAATGAAATTAAATGATTGGAATCGCATTATATGAATAAGGATAATCGAAATTACTACAATATAGTACACTTGTGTATACATTTACCAAATGTATATCTTTTTATCTATGCAAACTGTCAAACAAATGTGTATTTAGAATTCACATAATAAATAAATTAATCTCTTAAAGATTTGAATTTTCTTGCATGAAACTTGATCTTCTCCCAGCTAGCTTAAGATAACGGCACGTGCCAGACGACAAATAGCCTCAAGCGGGTCTGTATTCAAATGACCCAATTAACTATGCGCTAAGACAGTGTTTTACTGCAGTTTTCAGATCCCTTTTGTGCTTTAATTTATAATTGATTAAACTGATCACCTCATCATTGAAACGACCTGTGAACTTAGAAATTGACTGTTAATAAAGATTAAAATATTAATTTATTTGGCTTTAAAAATACGACATGCATATAAAAAAGAAACGGTTCATTGTAATCAGTTTAAAAACCTGTAAAATTACATGGACACATGACAGCATATTCAGACTACGCTTTATACTTTTCAATCGCGTGAGAATCCCAGATTTTTCCCACCCTTGCAAAATGGTCTCGCTTCTAACTGTCTGATGTGCCTTGACCAGCCACCCCGCAAGAATGGGTTTCAATTTTGACAATCGTAGATCTACGTTTAAAGACTGCATTGTTTTCCCCCTTCTCAGTTCTTTTTGAATTTGATCCGCGTACCACTCAGAAAACTGATTTTTTATGCATTTTTTGAATTCGTCATTTCCAGCAAGATCTAACGATTGTAATTCTGATGTGCAGATTGCGGGAACATAGCGCATTCTGACGTTGTTTCGAGTCAGCTGATCTTTGAACTCGTTCACGTGATGTGCTTTGAAAACTTCAAATATACACAAAGCAGGTACATTGGAGTGACACAATGGCAATTTTTCTCTCACGTTTTCAATATAAGGCACTATAATTTTTTCGACATAATCACACATTATCTCTGAGTTTGACCAGTGATTTGAAGTATGGGTTATATGCCAATCATCGGGGAATGGAAATTTCGGGTGAACCTGATTCGTTCCGCCTGCGTAGATAACTTGAGGGGGGAGAAAGTAGCCCGACAAGGTACATCCAAGGAGGACAGTTATTTGTCTTTTATCCTCAAGTCCAATAATAGGGACCTGTTTTGATCCTTTTTCCTCTAGTGTGTAATCACCTACAGGCACAATGTACACATTTGTCTGATCAAAATTGATGACCAGGTCATCGGGAATACTGTTTTCTGTAACGATTTCTTCAATTTTTGACAAAAACAATTCTTTTGTTCTGGGAAATTTTCGGGTAATTTTCGAGCAGCTTTTGTACCCTTGCGTTGAACAAAATTTAACCGTCGGAGAAATGACTGGGCCCAGGATTTCTTTAAATCAATAGATCCACCGAATTCGATCAGATGTTGTCGATTTTTAGCCATAATTATATACCGAGCAGCAGCGATAACAATTGGTCTATTGACAATACCTCCCGAAAGTCGAATATCTTTTATGTAGTCAATTACATCTTCCTCGAACGTGCCCAACAAAGTTGGTCGTCCGCGTTTGCCGCACGGGAGTCCGTCCTTGAATTCATCCAATTCTGTCGGAACTTTTTTTAAAATGTAAGATTTTTTCATTGTTCTGATACTACTCTCATTTACCGGCTTTCAAAACACTTTACTAAAATGTTTAGAAGCTTTCATTACCCCATTTTCCACAGCGTACTTTGCCATTTTATATCTCTGCTCCGCGGAATAATGGTTGTATTCGCCTCGTTTTCTCTTAAGGGATTTAGACACTGCTTGTACGACAGCCCCATTTGCTGCTGAAATTTCCACAGATTTTTCAGGTGTAAGACATGGGTTGGGTAAATATTCATCAGGTGGTGTTTCACAAGACGATTTTAGCCAGCGTCGTAACATCTTGACGGCCAACTTATGACTACCAACAAGTGCACAACCGATAATTACTGTTCACTGTGAACAGTTCTCTCAATTTACGTCCAATGTTGGACAAATTATTGGTAATGAAAAGGCTAAGAACTAAATTTAATAATAATTTTTTAAAATTATTTTTGTTCGTACAAAGAATCCGCGTAATTTTTTTACCCGCGGATTAAATTGATATTGTGATTCCGCGGAATTATGACCCCGTGGAAAAAAATACGTCTACAGTATATAGGGTAGTTCAATTTCATTTTTGCTCTGTGGAATATTAAAAATATTTAAAACGGATATATGATTTTGAAGAATCTCTTCCTTAGAAAGGGAATTATGAGTATAAGTAGTATAACCATTTGTAGAATTAAATCCAAGTTCTTCTAAAATGCAATTTATATAATGAGCCTTACAAACGAAGACAATGTTGTTACCTGCTTTGTCGGCAGTGACCAGTACGTACTGATCATGTAATCTATCTTATTCTTTTTCACTTCTGGATTATTTAACACAGAAGGATAGATGGTTTTCATATTGCCCCTCAATCTTTTAATACCGGACTTTAAAATATATCTGATACATTTCATCCATTTTGACAAGATGTCAACGTCTTCTTTTTCATATCTTGCTCATCGTCTTGCGTTATTTTCAACAGAATCCATAATATTTATGAAATTTCGACGCCAGTTTAAGGATTAGGGTTCCCTATATTTAGGACTTTTTAGAATCAGTGATTTAAGGTCTTCATAATTAACTATTAATGTAATTTAACTGTGTAGAAACAACTTCATAAATTTTCACAAAAAACTCCTTTATCTTTCAGTATTCTAATTGTTTTTACAAAGAACTATAACTCTGCAAGCTACATGTAGTTATAGGGTGATTTACGAATAGAATTCAGACTGCTCGAAATTTCAGTAATAGTATATCTATTTCAAAAACAATTTCAAACCTTAAAATGCATTTTTAGAACATAAAAATGAAAATGTTATTACATTAGAATTTCTGTACAAGCGTTCTCTCTGATATAAGGGTGTTATCATAAATTAATAATTTATATTTGTATTTTTAATTCCAGTGGCTATAGGATTTGCATTTGTTATTTTATTTGTTTTGAGTCTGGTTTGCAGCCTGTTTAAAATAAGGTTTGTATCTACGTTGTTTACAAGTATTTTTTTTATATAGAATGTTGTGAATCACATAGTTTTGAGAGAATAACATTGTTTAAAAAATGTTAAGGTGTTCTCGTGTCCTTATCCAAAAACGTAAAATGCTATATGATCTACACGTACTTAAGATGTATTATATCAAATAATAAAAATCAGTTTAAATTTCCTATTTTACTGATATAAATTCTAATTCGTATAAATATGTTTATATCATTCATTTAAAGGAATCAAGTACTAAAAGACTGAAAATAAAGCAAGTTACAAATTATTTTGAGAAAAAGCATGATTGATATTCAATCAAATTTAAAAATAACGAACAGTAGTTAAGCCCAAAAGGTTCATTTAAACAATAACAATTTGGCACAGAAAAAACACCAACCTCTCAAAAACATCAGATGTTTTAGAGGTCCGTGTTTGCTCTGCTCCTGCCAGTATGTACGATTGTTTAATGGACTTTTGATCTTCAATACTGTTCGTTATCTCCAAATATTTCATCCTTTAATAGCAATGGCTATCATTTCATAGAAGGCATGAGGAAAGCAAAAACTAACAGCACAATGTTAGTCTTATGTTGGTTTTTATATTTTAATGTCAAACAGATCAAATCTATTAAAGAAAAGAAGGACGGAATTAATGCGTCTTCCCCCGATACCGAGGTTAGACGATCCCCAGTGCGAACCATGTGTTTCCCATTCAGATGCTTTGTACACAGATCCTGATTACATTAGCTTAGGAGATGAAAGCGATAAGTATGAATATCTGCAGGACCCAGAGGAAGGGAAACGCACAGAAAGCCTCACATCATCTAGTAGTGGAGGGAATAGAACACGAAACCTTACAAGACGAGAAGACGAAGAGTCATACGTAGACCAAAACGATGGAGACAGAATATACTTAGGTGTAATGCACGCCAACAACAACCCAAATGATGAATGCGTTGATCACCCATACCTGGGTTTGGTGCATGAGACAAACACCATTAACGATGGGGAGAAGGAGGAGACTAATCTTTGAATGCAGAATGATTCACGAAGATACTTTATAAAGGTTTCTGAAACAACCTTATTTGAAACCTTGAAATTTATTTTCATTTATTGGATATGAGTATTTGAAGAATAACCTTATTACTTATTAACTGAATCCTAAATGAAAGCAATTAGGTTTTTTATGTTTAAGGAAATGTGTCTTGCAGTGACTATGTTTTCCCGATTTGCCAAAAATTTTATACCCATTATTCCTTGATTAAGCTTTATTATTCTAGATATTTAGTAGTTTATTCTACCTGTAAAATTGATCAGGCGATAAATACCTATGGTAATGGCCATAGCATATTTTCTGATAATTGTAAAATATAAAACCTATACAATTGTATTGATGGGCCCTTGTGTATAATAATATTTCAGCGTGCACTGTTTATTCTTAATTAGTTGAAAGTGTTATGATATATAGATTATACATGTTGTTGAGGTTAACAATGAAAATGAAATTCTCCACAAGAAACATTTTGTCAACCTAGGTATAGCCTAGGTAGAAACTAATTTTTAATACATAAAGAGTAAAAACCTCCAAGACTTTTTTTGACCCTGACAATTTCTGAAAAAATCAGAACTGTTCGCGATTCGTTTAGGTTAAAAATGCAGTCTTTATTACTTGGAATGTTGGTGACCTTGTATGTATTGAACATAAGGTAATTTTCCATATAGTCAATGCACTATGGCGCCATAAATTGCGTCATTGTACCATATGCTGTAAATTCCTTTAAAAATGGTCTAACGTTGAAGGGTTTTTCCCCAAAAATTTATATAGAGCACGTGCACAATCTTTGATCTAAAAAATAGAATCATGATGAAAGATCTGTTTCTGAAGAAGAAAAAAATGCATGTTTAAAATTTTCGATCGTGAGTTGTGTTGAATAATAATCATATTTTAATTTTTGCTGAAGGTAGTCAAATACGCAATCTTCAGAAACATTACATTTTCTAAAAGCCTGTTCTCCAAAACCTGGATTATCCAAAAGAAAATTTGTTACAGAAAATGAAAGCAAGTTTCTATTTTATTGATATATGAAATGGGAAAGAGGATGAAAGTCAAATAATTGATATTAGGACAGGGTCATTTTATGCATTATGTAAACCTAGCTCTTTCTAATGTATTATAGAGTATTTATTATATTTTGCGGAATGTTTTTTTTTTTATGTAAGAATACATACTATAGCTAAACGTGAGGGTGTGGTTTCATAATTCAGAAGGTACCACGTAATTATATTTTTAACAAAATAAATGTTGCTCCAAGAATCAGAGTCGACCTATTTCTATGAACGTGTGAATTCATATACATGTGTAAATACAACATGAAGGTGAGGATATATGCATGTAACATCGAAAAATTACCCCTAGAAAACCATTGTCAATCGACGTGCAGCAAAGTTCAAATGGGTTTTTTAATGAATGTTTACAATGCTTGCCGCAACTTGAATCAGAATATTTAAATACTGAGTGTTTTATCAATAGATAACGGTGAAGTATGCGCGCATATATTTATTTTTAGAATACCACTCGCTTCTAAGCAGAGACAAATCGACATGTTGAAAATTTGCATGCAATGGTTATATTCGACAAGATAGATTCTCTCTTTGATAAAAAATGTACTTATAACATGTGGAATAGCTATAACGACAATAATATTAAATATGTACGAGTATTGTCCCGAAGGAGAATGCATATGGACAACTTTTCATTTTTGTTTTAAATCTATGTATGTTTCATGATATCTAAAGTTTATCCAATCAATTCACCTTTTTATTAATTTGTTTGATCCTGGTTCATAGTTTCTGTTAAAATTTGCTGCTACATTGCTTTACAAGGTAATTTTTTTGATATTTTATGATTTTTTGTACTTTAAAATATGTGTAGTTTTCTTACTTTTGGTATGTTGAAAATAATCTTTAATTGTAAATATAATCAGCTGCAATCTATTACTTTCTCCCAAAAAAAATTAGATATAATCAATTATCAAAAAAAATCCTAGTAATTATTATTTATTGAATGTATTACAGGCGAGAATTTGACTGTTATGATAAATTTTCTACGAAGGCTGTTCGGCAATTATTGAGACAATTCTATTTACTCCATAAAGGACGCAGATAATTTCATGAAAATTCATCAATATTTTAAACAGAACGATTATTACACTTACGCAAAATTTCTTATTTCTATGATAATAAGTCAACTTTTGGTGAAATGAAAAACATGCATACGACCATCCACCCGGAGCAGCATCGCTACGTCATTTAACGTCACTTCAGCCGGAGATGGTTTCGCATGTAAAACGACCGGGAAGCGTTTAATACCTTTCCTTCTTTGTTATTACATATAACATAACAAAAATCAAACAGTCTCTTTTCTTAATCTATTTTTTTAAAAAATGTATGCTGTTGCTACCCCAGTGTACAATTTTCATTTGTGGAAAAGGATGACTTAGAAGCATGCAGTGCAGATTTATGCAACGCGGATCAACGATATTAGTACCATAGCGATATTAAGAATGTACGTTATAACTGATGGCGTCTGGAGCTTTTGATTTTACTCTGGTTGAATTAATTGTAAAAAAAAAATGTATACCAATGAAATAACAAACACTAACACGTTATTCTCTTTTTCTCGTTGTTATTGTTTTAGCAGGTCGTCTAGTCTGGAAAAGAGTTCTGCATTGCGCTCCACTAAATTTTAGATATGCTGGCTGCTCCGCCCTTGACGTCAAAATCTCATTTTGCGTTCTTAGCAGATTTCTACGGAAGCCCATTTAGGACCTATAATTTTTTTTTTTGAAATTTGATATCACGAATTGTCGAATTTGTTTTAACGAATTTAATTCATTTTAACAATTTCTTTGAATTTGTTTTAACGATTTTAATCTGTTATAACAAATTTGTTGAATTCATTAGAACATATTCTTTATTTTGATATAAAGAATTAAATTCATTAAAACGAATTCAAAAATTTGCTTTAACAATATAATTCGTTTAAACAAATTATAAATTTTGATATAACAAATCAAATTCGTTTAAAGATATTCCAAAGTTTGGTATAACGAATTAAGTTCGTTTAATCAATTTTAATAATCAGGGCCTATACAAAAATATATATGAATTCGATATAACGATTTCTCGAATTCGTTGAAACGAATTCAATTTGTTTTAAAAAACAATGGAATTCGTTTAAACGATTTCAATTCGTTATAACAAGTTTTAGAATCTGTTAAAACGAGTTTAATTCGTATAAGCAGGTTTTTGAATTCGTTACAACAAAATAAACATTTTTTTAATAACAGATTAAATTCGTTACAACGAATTCAAAGAAATAGTTATAACGAATTAAATTCGTTATAAGAAATTCGACAATTCGTTATAGAGGATTCAAAAGTAATTTTCGAGAGGTCCTAAATTTCTAACAAAGTTGCACAACATGAATTTAAATAAAGCTGAAAAATTATACACATAAACTGAATTATTTTCGCTCTTATGAAAGAATTGAAGAGTTGGAACGTTGGTGTTACATATTTTCAATATCTGATTTCGTAACTGCTCTGGGTACCCCTACTTTTGACGCATTTATATACTGTTGTACAGGAAATATTTAATATTTGTTAAATATATTTTGCTTTCATTAATTCTTAGCGTATGACAAACGTATATGCAAATTTTCAACAAAAGACGTTCATTAGAAAGCAAAATTTACACATTGTCTCAATAATTTTCGAACAACCCTCGTAATTATTTTTAATTACCTATACTTTTCTTTAAAATGCTTGGTAAAGATGAAATACTTTAAATGTTCTTGGGTTTTTTAATGAAGTATCTCATATCTGAATATTCTTTACACGGAACCTTCGGGAAATAATAATATTGAGATGGTATAATCCTACCTGTACATATTTTTAAAAATATAATTTGTTCTGTTAAAATAGTTCTATTTAAAATCATTAGCATTATTTTATTATTATTGAATGATTATTAATGATATAATGAGAATGGCCAATACTGAATAATGAACATTTATTTATTATGAATGAAGCCATTAATCTTGTTAATAATTTGATTGAATGTAAAGACATATAGAGTTAACTGTTTTCAATCGCGCAGATTGTTATTCAAACAACAAGAAATGTTCTTTTAGATCAGAGTTACCTATTTAATAGTTTTGATTTTCCGATTAGATTCTAAAATTTGTGACAGCAACGATGCAGTTCATACTGTTCAATAATTTTCGAAAATACAAAAGCCATACTTATTATCCTTTATTCTGAAACATACATTATTTCAACAACGAATGATGCTCATTTGTCAAACATTTGATGTTTTTGTATATGTAAGTTTACTTAATAAATATAATTATTCTGTCAGCTTGTGCCTTCTAGCAAGATCGTTGCATCGACAATAAATTTTGACTTTTAAACGGGAACCTTGATATCCAGCTTGTTTCACCAATTTATTTGTTAATATATTATTAATTGCTTGCCATAAGAAAAGTCTAGTAAGGATCTAGTAAGGGTTCGATTGTCTGACAAAATGAACGCTTATAATTTTGATAACACCAAGGACCCCAATTTTAGACAACCATCTGAAACAGGAGAGTCTTCTGGGAGGGTGGGAGTTACCGCTTGACTTTTAAACGGATATGAGTTCAAAAGACCGGGAATCTATTTAGGAAGTCCTGCCAATACTCAGTAATTTGAAAAAGTCTACAATACTACTATAAGAGTACTGTTTGACAATAAAAAAGAGATTTTACAAGACCAGGCTAGGTAAATATTTTGACGATCTTGTAAACAAAAATGAAGGAAAAATATGGGATTCCGGATGTTTTTCAGCCCCTCGAAGTATATATTCTTACTACAGTTCTATATTTAGGCCGGTTAGCCAAATGGGTCTTGAATCCAAATTCCTTTTGAAAGTTTTTTCTCAAATCACTACCCTGCTCCAAGATGAAAATCTAGATGTGGAATTCTGGATGTCTTCCAGTTCCTCGAACTATGAACGTTGCCGGTCTTGTAAACTTCTAATTGTCTAGAATTTCATGCAAACAATGATTTCTAACTTTTTTTCGTCCGTTCGAAAAAGTATTTAGTAATTCTATGA